GTGCATGATATTCCATCAGATATTCTTTTCAGAGTAATTAACATATTGTGAAATGAAAGTATCAAAAAATGGGAGCATGTTAATAAAATACAGATCCTTGAAAATACTTGAGTACAGTAACAAAGTAAAGCAGAGCGATGTTGGCTTGCAGTTTTCACTGTCTGCCGTATATCCCAGGCCTACCACACATAGGATAACCCAACTACTAGTTAGCTTTTAAATCATGTAACAAAATATAGCTGTTTGTTATGTCTATTAACTAAAAATTAGATTTTCATCATCTCGCTTTACAACAGATAATAGAAAAAACATTAACAGACTGTAATGTTCAGAGCTCTTCACAAACTGAGATTATTGAGAGGGCTCCCCCTACTGACCAGACATTATCACCGTGCCAATCCAGATAACCACATTCATTTTGTTACTGTCCACCATAGCTTGTCATACACACACAAACACACTCACCACACACTTAAAAAAGGTGGTTCTTCAAGGCTTCTTTACTAAAGAAAACGGTTCTGTATAGAACCACAAACACTGAAACTCACTTTGCATGATGAAGGGTTATTCAGATTGATGGAGAATTTTTGAAAAAAGTTCTATATAGCACCAAAAAGGGTTCTGCTATTGTTACAAGCTCGTATCGTAACAACAACCACCCCCTTTTCAAAAAGGTTCTACATAGAACCATCTATGGTACATTTGCCATCTGTAGAACCCTTTGATGATGCAAAGAAACCTTTAAACATGCAAAGGGTTCTTTGAGTGTTCATGGTTCTGTACAAAACCAGTTTTTAGTAAAGAACCACCTTTTTAACCCTTTCAACCCCAAGGCCCACCTGTTTATAGCTACAGAGCATAGAGGCCCACAGAAAAACTAAACATAAATAATAAATACAAATTTAAATGCAGTTTTGTTAAAAAAATGTTTGCAGTGATGTTAAAACGTAGGTGGAAAAGGAAAAAAGTATAAAAATATTAAAAGTAGATGTGAATAGTGATGTGGAGCTGCAATCCATCTCGTTTTCAGTGACAGTATTCCACTGGCTTTCCCACTGTTTGGTCTCGAAATGTCTCTTTGGTTTTGAGGGTTTTGGCGCCTCATCTGAAATGGCCAAACCACAGTCCACTCATCGGGCTTTTGGATGAGCGCTGTCACAGCCCACGATAATAAAACTTAGTTCGTATCTGCTCCTTTGTCACTGGTTTATCGGTTTGAGTTTAACCACTCAAGCCAAAAATACGATCTAAAAAATATGATCAAAGGCGCATCTTCGCTGCTATTTTATGACTTGGTTGTCATTTTAAACCGCAGCTGGTGCTGCAGAAACGATATGGAGCAAATGAGAGTCTGTAAAGAGTCAGGCGTTAAAACAATCAGACTATACTGACAGTTGATACTGATGAATCCCCTCGTTTCATCATTGCGCTCCCACCAGGGAATGTCACACCATGTCAAAACGGAGCGACCAGAAAACGTCTGATAGGTCCAGACCAAACAAGGTGGGTGTGAAAGCGCCCCTGAAATGTTAGCATCCAAATTGTCCTTAAAGTACATTATATCACTATATCACTCCACAAATGGAGGAATGTTATCTATTTTTGATGACAACTAAGTATGAACCAAAACGTGAAGATATGAGCATTTAAAACATAGATGGTCAATAGTTCCAGCCTCTATAAAACAAATGATGCAAGGATCCACTTCAAATTTAAATCTTTCATTTAAAAATATGTGTCTTTATGGCCGATACTATGTTTTAGACACAGTAGCACATGTTAGGTAAAAGGAAAAGCACTTCCGCCTTAAAAGAACCGCTATATTATCCCCTACAAAGCATGAATTCCCAGAACTTTCTCATTGAAAACCAAACAAAACTTTCTATTGTCTAATTTTTTGTCCAACAAATTACCATCACCAACCCTTAGAGAAAGCAAAGAAAGTACAGTCACAAAAAAACACAGACTGCTTTGTGTCATTTGAAGTAATGGGATAGGAATTGCATTGCATATTTGGTCATACCCTTTCCTTGAAATAGTAAGTTTATGTTTTCTGGTTTAATCTTCAGGAATTTTAGATATCTCAAAATTACACTTTTCAATCCCTCAAACCGTACTAAATACGTTGTTTGGGATATGGTACCACAAAGATTGAGGTGATGTTTTTATGACTTAAAGTGAAGTTACTGGCCCGCTACAGACTACGGCCTCCCCCTGAGTACAGGACTGTGGACCTGAGGGTTCTTCACAGTCTGCACAAAGTCTGCACTTGCACACATACACTGTAAATATGTTTTCAACTAAAAGATAAGTTAGGCTGACTTACTAAAATAAAAAGTTTGTCTTATTGAACTTGAAATTAAGTTTACAGAAGATACCATTATTATTATTATTATTGTTGTTGTTGTTGTTAACTTACCAGTAGAAGTTCAGTAGTAGACAAAGTTCACAAATCCGATACTTAAGTGAAAGTAGAGAGTAAAAAAGTGCTTCCATTAACATACAAAAGTGCAATTACTTTTAAATGTAATTAGCATAAGTAAAAGGTAAAAGTACCATGAAGTTTTATGTACCAAAAAGTTGTAATTCATTTTTACATAACTATTTTTCAACCTCACTTTATCATTTAGCATTAAACAGGCTGTTTTTTACCATTAGGACTGATATATATAGGACTTCTGTTCTGCGGTTGGCTGCCCTGTATTGTGCTTGATTCAAAAAGCAGTCCATGATGAAACATTACTTATAACTTTAATGTGAGTGGGTGAAGCCAAACTACTGGCTGCTGGGATTAAATTATGAGAGAATAAATTGATTTATGTAAATACATTGGTTTTAGTGACATCATAGAGGTGTGAGATATGGCAAAACGTAATATCACAATATTTTAGTAAGTTTTTACATTATAGAGTGTGCCACGATATTTATTCTTTATTTTTTCTGACATCTGATAAGATAGGAGTAGTGCCACATTTAAATTACTTTTAAAATACACATTTTTAAAATCACCTTCAAAAACTATGAATCCAATTACTTCAACATCAAACATTTCACTCACCGTGTTGCATCAATAAAAGAGGAATAATTCTGCTCTCTTTTTAATCAAACATGCAGTTGGGAAGTGTTTTTAAGGACTGGTGATATCCACAATATACTCATAAAAGCATATTGTCATGTTTTATCAAAATAGCAATCAGTATAGTCTTATTGCCCAGCTCTGTGACATCACAAAAACAAAAAAAAACCCAAAAGGGCTGTTTTTGCAACTTAGTTTCTGAATTTAACAAAGTGTACTTATTGCATTAAACTCTTTTCTTTAAAAAAAGAAAGGTCATTCTGGTTTGGTTTGACATTGAGGATTTAGCAGTGTTATGTCATTTGTGAATGTGTCAGCTCATTTAGGTAAAGGTTGGTAGCTGCCTCACACTGAGGACCTCATTTTTTTTGCTGTCTTTTTTTTTTTTGGTAAATGAAGGCATAACAGATCTTTTGCCCTGTAGCTGAAAATCCCCAATCTGCTTGGAACATTCCATCTTTGCCCCCTCATTATCTGCAAACCACTTAGCATGACCATGCCTTCCGTGCTCCTACAGAAGCGCAGCCAGTGGTAGGATGCCACAGTATATATTTTTGCATGTTATGGAAAAACAAGTTTTTTCTTGCAGAAAGTAGTGAAGTAAAACAATCAGATAGCGTTGCGTTGGAGTAAAGAAAGACACAGAGGCACAGGGAAGTGCTCTTTCATTAAACACCAGTAGAAAGGCACATACAAAGCACTGATCTCACGGGGGAAGTCAATAGCTGCTGTAGACTTCCACCCCATGGTGACCAACCGCAACACAAAACACCCACACCCCCCCGGCACAGAATGACACAAACAACACATACACACAGTAACACACTAACAAACAGCAACATAAACAATCTTTTCCAAAGGGCATGTGCCTTTCATGAGCCTCCTCACACAGCCCTTCACATGCCCATGCCCCCAGAGCCTCTATGGCTCACACAAGCCAGTACATAGCCGTCCTTCGGCACAAGCAGTCCCAGTCAGCACAAATGCCCCAGTCTATGCCCAGGGCAGCATCTTTGCCGCCACGGCTCCCTCCGTGCATGGCAGAACTCCCCGCGGTGTGCTGCGTTAAGTCCCGCACAGCTGGGGACAATGGCAGCAACAATGGTGCTCCATCCAGCCACCATCTACTTACTCTGCCACTGGCATGAATGCCGCTCGTGTGCATTGGGGCCCTGACTCTGCTGTGCGTGACAGCAAGCGCAATTAGCCATCTGCAATCCACGCTGCATTCTAGCCACAGCCCGTGGCTGTCACTGAACCTCTCGGCAGGCCTCCGTTTACCCAGCTCGTGATGCCACCTGGCGCGGTGTCCTCTCCTTCCGCAATGCCGGCTCCCACGCTGGGGGTCATACCCTCATCTGCCTTCCTCTCGCAGGCACCAGCATCATACCTCGCAGCAGAATAACACAAATAACACACACACACATCTTTACACTAACAAATGGAGATATAAACAACAATAATAAGTCCCTTTTCTGGAAAGCGCGCACCTCCCATGAGACTCCTTGCATGACCCTTCACATGGCAAGAGCCTCCAGAGCCTCTAGGGCAACACCATCCATTAGTGGGCGCTACAGTATTATACTGTGAAATGTGACAAAGTGAAAGAAGAAAAAATGGAAATACTTTATAAATGTACACATGTCTTTCTGGGGCTTATAAATGTACAGTGAATTGAAAAAAGTGCTTAAGTACAGTAATTGAGTACATGTACTACTGTCAACCACTGTAGAAGTTCGCTGGACCCAAAAATCTCACGCACAAACACACACACACACTCTCAGAAAAAAGGGTACTGTGCAGGTACATTGTTCATTCATTAAGGTACAAACAATGTAAATGTACTTAAATGGTACAACAATGGTTTTAAGGTCCAACTGTGCACCTTAAATTAGTTTTTTTCCCAGGTTTATTTGTCCCTTTATATAACTTATGACTGCAACAGAATGTGGTACAATAATGCCTCCTAACTAACTGGTACTGAAGATGTACCCTTGAGGGGAACCACCACAGTGACAGTTTAGTGCAATTTTTTTTCTAAGAGTGCACACACACACACACACACACACAGACACAGACACACACACACACACACACACAGTCGCGAGAGGAAGAGGGCAAGGCGCGCGCACAGCATTTCCTCAAAGAGCAGCTGCACACAGCAGAGCTGTTCAGATCCGGAGCTTCAGTCTTCGAAGAGGAGGAAAACAAAGTCAGAAGAGCTCAGAAAAGGAGGAAAACGAGGCAAACGGACCCTTTCTAAACGGCATGATGATCACATGAGCTCTCCCTGCTCCCTGCTGACCTTCTAATGGATACATTGCTGTTTTTTCATCACTCTTACTATCTCATGGCTCGTGAGGCTGATTCAAGCTGAACGAGACGATGTCGAACATCACGCAGGAGGGCGCAGACTCCTACGTGTGCGTGCGCGTGTGGGCGTCTGCGGCAGCCTTCCTCATCCTCTTCGTCTTTAACCTGCTCATCAGCTGGACAATCGTGCGTGAGCCGCGCCTGCGCGGCCACGCGCGCTTCGTGCTCGTCCTCCAGCTGCTCGTGTCTGCGTCCGTCTACTTCGCCCTGTGTTTCGCCTTCTACCTCCAGGCGGACCTGCAAGCGCGCCTGCCCGCCGCCTCGTGCGCCGCGCTCGTCACGGCGCTAACCACGAGCGCCTGTAGCATCCTGCTGACCATCACGGCCATGGCGCTGGACCGCTACGCGGCCATCTGCTTCCCGCTGCGCTACGGCTGCGCGAGCCGGGGCGCCTGGCCGTGGCTGCTGGGAGCGTTCACGTGGGCGCTCGCCGCCGTCATTCCGCTCAGCCTTTACAAAAATGTGCACAATAAGGCCTCGGAGTTGGACTTATGCGACCGCAACACGCTGAAAGGCGGCGAGGTGCACAAGATCCTGCTGATCTCCGCGTGCACGCTGCTGATCCTGTACAGCTACGCGCGCATCCTGTGGGAAGGGCGCCGCCTGGGCGTGCTGAACCGGCGCAACCGCGCGGCCTGCAGGACCATCGCGCTGCACGGCACGCAGCTGGCTGTCTACATCCTGCCCAACTTCGTGAACTTCGCACTGTACGTGCTGACGAGATACAGTTTGCTCAGCCCCGCCGCCAAGGAGCGCTTCGCCGTCATGGTCTTCGTCTTCTTCAGCCTGGCGCAGTGTATTGCGCCCGTCGTGTACGGACTGCGCAAAGAGGAGCTGCTCGAACAGGTGGGACACCGCTTCCCGCGCCTGAACTGTAAGCTCAAGAGCCTCCTGGAGTGGACAGTCGGGGTGGTCCGTCCTCACAGAAGACAGCAAAGGTAGGAGATACACAGTCTCCAGCGTTCATCTGGGCAGTAACACAACAAGGTCTTATATATGTAGCTGCAACTACCTGTTAAGGCATTCAGTCATTGGTCAAGCACCCTCTATCTGATTTGTCCACCATAGGATGTTATTTGAGTGGTGGACCATCCAGGGACAACAAAATGGTAGTGGAATGGTAGTGTGTGTGACACTACTGGGTTTTTAACACCCCTTAGTGGGTTGGGAGTGATCCACCGACCAAAAATATCCAGCAAGCTGTGGCCCTGTGGTCAGAAACTTAACACAGAAAAAGGCTAGGGCAGGGGTGCCCAGTCCTGGTCCTGGAGATCTACCAGCCTGGGGGGGTTCAGGTCTTCTAGCTGCTCCATACCAGAAGGCCTTCGTTACTTCATAAAGTTGGGGGTGAGGCTACAGGGTGGTGTACACTTAAATAGATGGTTCTTTAAGGGTTCTCTGGTAAAGGCAATGGTTCTGTTTAGAACCACAAGTCCTGTATAAGTATAGTTGGAGGTACAAGGGAGTGTGTTCTAATAAACTGATCTGTAAGTGCCCAGTGTTTATAAACCCCATCAATGCTACTGCATGTTAAAAATTCATACCATTGTGACACACACTACTATGCCACTACCATGTTGATGCCACTTCTGTCTAAACAAACACCTGGTCAGCAGTGGTCCTGTGGTGGTTCCTTTCCTTTGATAGATGGTCTAGATAAACTGTGCCTAACAGCATTATGCTAAATACCCCCTGGTATTCGGCGGGTGGGGGGGGCTCCCATGTTGGCTGGCTGCTAACTCACTCACCATAGCAGTGTTGATGGCACCTTCAGTGGCAATAAATTCTTCTTCTGGAAATGCTTTTTTCTAGTCTGGTAATGCGGTCTTCCACACAATAATTGAAATCTTAAGCATCTCTTCTGTCTTTGGTTTGAGAAATGAGTAACAATACATTCATTTCACCAGTCTCTTGAGAAACTATGCTGTGGCATAAGGACCAACTAGGTGAACCAATTTGATACAGTGCCACCAAAGACTCAAGCTCCCTGATTGTGGGTGAAGCAGCTAAACAATGGAATTTCCCTGAAGCTATATTTTACTTTTTCCCCCCAACAGAGTGTAAGGTCATAATAAGTTTATTTTCGGAGACTCCCCCCAGAATTTTGATTTTGAGACCTTCAGGGGGTCCAAGAGGTTAATTTTTTAATGTTTTTTGCACCTTGTCCAACAGATGGGCTACAGTGAGTAATTGCGTGCCTACAAAGCAAAGTGTCCACTAAGAATTTTTACTGCTTTCAGTGTCTCTGGGAATGATTCATTTTTCTAGACAAATGGGTAAAATTCAAGTCATATGAGTTAATGTTTCACTCTATCACAACTAAAACATTTTTGGCTTATGACATGTCCAGTCTTATAAACAAAGGGTCAGCTGGCTGCTAGATTTCATTAAAACGAGCAGGAACACACCCGATTTTCATCCACACCAGCCCTTTGCAGATAAGACTGGAGCCCCCTGGCCTAAGATATTGCTGCTTCGACTCTGTAGTGCTCCAGATACAACGGCCAGTGCAGGTACTTTCATACATAAAATGCAGCCCAAAGTGCTTCAGTGAAATAAAACATAAAATTACACAAAGGAGAAAAATGGACAAGAAAATATATATAAGGGAAAGCAGCATTATTAAAAAAAAAAAATTAACCAAATAAAACTCCAAAAGTAAAAACAAACTTTGTAGAACGCTGGAACAAACATATCATTTGCTAAGTAATGGCCTGACGTCTTAAGTTTGGTTTCAAAAGGAGATACAATGGTGGCAGATTGTAGGTCATTAGGCTGTTCCACAAAGCTGAACTATAATGGCTGAAAGTACATTCACCCATTTTGGATAAATAACGTTTTTCTCCATAACTTTCTTTTTACAATTTGAATTCTGTTTTGGGCTGAGTATTTTAAAGCTAACTATTAAAAATCTAGTATTTGCAATTTTATCTCACCTCTGAAACACAGTGATCGCCATTGAGGTTTATGTTTTTATTTGTGTCACAGAATATTTTTTGTTGTTTTGGTTCACATCCTTAAAGCTAACAAAGAAAATGTTAAAGTAAAGAGATACTGCACATTACGGTAACGTGAATTTTCAGAAAAAATGCCAATAAGCTAATGCCAGTACAGGAGTAGATACAGTGTGAGTTGTGGGAGATCAGTTAAACTGATTGATTGTCAGGTTTCTAAATGAGCAAAATGAAATGTAAACATGTTAAATAAGAAAAAGCAGTTTTAGTGGGAAATTAAATACAAGCAGAGCTTTATCATCTGAGGCCTATGACATGCATGTTCCCCATTACCCTGGACTTACCCTCTGTCACACAGACTGTGGCCCTGTGTGCGTGTGCATGATCACATCATGAAAGTTTGAAGACTGTAGAGCACATGCAGAGTGTGAAGTCATGAGTCACTACTATACAGCCAGAGCTGGTTTCATAAAATGTGCAAGGGGAAAGATAAGTGCTACTTGGAATCAGTATCGAGTCATTTTTATCATTTTTAAACAGTGCTCCTAAACCCCTGATTACTTGAGCAGAACAGTAATAGGAAGTGGATTTCTGGGAGAATATGTTCTGTTATTTTGGTTATGCACGTCTATATCAGTTGTCTTAGATTTCAAAACCACAAATATTATATATATATATATATATATATATATATATATATATATATATATATATATGTGTGTGTGTATGTATGTATAGCCTCATTTAGTCTTCCAAAAAACGGTTCCTCTTCTAGCTCAACCGAGTTGACAGTTTCAGATTGGCAGGCTTCTACAGCCATTTTGGTTTCATATTAGAACAGCATTTTCCCCATACAGTAGCCAGCATCTGTCTCATTTCTTTGTTTTTTTTTTTTCAACTTCTCTGCCAACCCACCCTTCAAACATGTTCATTTTAGAACAGTGGGAAACCCCACCACAAGACCACAGAGCCACATCTAACAAACTAATTTTAACCCAGAGACTTTGTTAGTGCATGTTTCATGATTAATAGCATGAATAATTACAAATAATCATGACCAAAATTACCTAACAAAACATCCTTGTGTATGTTTCAGGGAAAGAAGAATGACAGCAGAGACGCTTCTATCGAGGGAGATATCACAGACGACTGTATGAACACTGTGCATGGAGAATGGACACTGATTGCTTTAATGCACCTAAAGAAGGCTTATTCCTTAACCGAACTGTGAAAAGATTAAACGACCAGAGGATGGACTTATTTACAGACCGAACAATCTTAAAGAAAGCTTATTCCTTAACTGAACTGTGAAATGTTTAAAAGGCCAGAGAAATTACTTATTTATGGACTGAACAATCTCATGTTCAACTAAGTGGCAGCTATGTGGAGCAAAGCTGAAAGCCTACAGTTTTTCTCATTAGACCTTTCTCCCCTAGAAAGCTCTGCTCCATCTCCATGGATGCTTTGGCGTTCTGTCTGGACTCCTCTACTGGAATTTCTGAGAATAGTAACTGTTTGTACAGTGTCTTTTATATATTAAAACCCAATTTAAATTGCTTTCTGTGTGTGTTTCTATTGTTCCCATGGACTGCTTTGCTGGTAGATATGTGTTGCTGTCAGAACAAATTCTCACATCTCCAAAATTCTCACGAATGAAAAAATCGTTCTTAAAGAACCCACATGCTACACTTTTCTCATGTTTAATTTTTCTGCTTTTCCCCCTACTCCTAATGTTTATGTGGTTTTATGTACCAAAACCAGCCATAATTACTTTTATTTTACCATTTTCCAACCTGTTTTTATTCCTTAGAATTAAACAGGCTATTTTTGTTACCGTGCCGATAAGGATTGTTTCAGTGCAGCCTAAAACACTCCTTATAACTTCAGTGTGAATGGGTGAAGCTATCCTACTGTAGGTAAAACAGGCAGATACATGTTAATATGTTGGTGTTTTGTGATGTCAGTTCCAAACAGTTGTTTTTGCAGTTTGGTGTCCAAATGTTGACTGTGTGGGGAGTGAGGAGTGTGTTTTGGAACTTTAACAACATTTCCACACTACATCCATCATCTAAACCGCTTATCCTTCTGGGTCGCGTGGGGTGCTGGAGCCAATCCCAGCTGTCATTGGGCGGAAGGCAGGATACACCCTGGACAGGTCGCCAGTCCATCGCAGGGCAGACAGACAGACATACACATTCACACACACACACTCACACCTAGGGGCAATTCAGCACGTCCAATTAGCCTGACTGCATGCTTTTGGACTGTGGGAGGAAACCCACGCAGACACGGGGAGAACATGCAAACTCCACACAGAAACGACCCTGGTCACCCAGCCGGGAATCGAACCCAGGCCCTTCTTGCTGTGAGGCGACAGCGCTACCCGCTGCGCCACCGTGCCACCTCACACTACATCAAACTCTTATTTTAAAAAAGTCAAATCGTTTATGTCATTGTTTAGATTTGACAATGATGTACGATATTGTGTGTTTATTCATTTGAATCAGTGCCGCAGGCCAAAGTTGGCTTGTGAGGACGTTTGATTTGGCCCAGCCAAAAGTTACCCTAACCTCCTCACTCAATGACAGAACATACACTACTGAAAATGTATTACATGTTTATGATTTAAAAATGTTTAATTGTCTATTTTAAAGTAATTTAGTAACAAAATATAGCATCATGTGCTGAACATGAAAGGCAGGTAATGAGCTGTGTTAAGTTAAAGGGGGTTAACAGCAGCATTTCACAATCACTGTTCATTAAAACGGTAAGCACAGAATGCATTTTAACATTCACTGATTTCAGTTTCAGTGTGTGTGTGTGTTCTACTATTTACTACTATGTATTTATGTATTAAGTATAGTCATCAGCTTAATCTATCATCAGAGATGATGGTAATGGTTATAGCTGACTGACATTTGACTGATTTTACCTACACCATGAGGACTTGCAGGCTTTCTACAGGAGAAAAGGATAATGCACACGACTGAGTCAACCTACAAATAACTTCAAAATTCCCCCTTTTTGTGTAGGTATTCTTGCACCTGCATAACAAGTAGCTGAATTTATAGTCCCCTGAATCAAGTCATAGTGCAGCGTACCCTCAAATATGAGCATTTGCACTTTGGTTTCTATGCAACTAAAGATATTTGACATTTCCTGTTAAGCCTACGATAAAACACCCAAACGCTTCCTGTTGCACTGGAAACCGTTTATGAATTCTGTGATGTTATGAGGCAATAACAATGTCCATATCCAAACAAGAGGAGGCCTCAAAGTGAATTAGGAAAATTAGGTACATTTCTGGTTCAGTTTGCTAAGGCATTGTGACAGTTGTTCTCTGCAGTTTGGTCTTTACAGGTCTATATGACTAATATATACATCAAAGAGACCTGAAAATTTCTTAGATTTCATAGTACTCTACTCTCATATTAACTCTATTTTTCTAACATTCACAATTTCTTTTCAATTCCACCCATTAGCAACACAACTTGTACAACTGATGTTAATTTACAAACTAACGTATTAATCTGACTGAAACATTTAAGCATTTTTGTGGCGGTATAATACAACTCCTTCCACTCACCCAAGCTGATAGCACAGATCAATCTGAAAAATCATAAAAAGTATGGATGGACATAACTGGCTGAAAGAAGATTAGAGTATGGAATTTATCAACTGTTTGGAGGAAAAGGTTAATTTTGTCTTTAGAATCCCAGAGGATGGGGGGCTACCACCGTTCCATTCTCCACCACAGCTGAGGAAATGGCACGCAGGTTCTTGAAGATCTGCTTGGATGTGCCTGACCTCAGGAACTTGATTAACCCACATGAGGAGTTAAAGATTCAATGTGCATATTTACAACCATTATTTTGAGGAAAAGATACATAAAAGTTTTAAAGAAAAGAACAAATGGGAGGAAATGAGGTTGCACTTGTGTAGGTAGCATCCATCGTCTTTACTGGTCTATATTACTAGTACATACATTAAAGAGACCTCAAAATTCCTCATATTTCATAGTACTCTACTCTCAGATTAACCTACGTTAGAGGGAGGCAAACAATGAGGGGTGAGTAGACACTGATCTTAGTGCACCAGGATTCACACAGCATCTTCTTATGCCCTGGCCCTGGGGGAGGGGCACACACCCATAGCCACTCTTTACTTTCACATTGTATGTGTTTCGCAACCTTCACTCAATATAGCGTTCTGTTCAACTTGATCTGTGGCTTTCCAAAGTGTGCTAGACGGTGTATGTGTAGGTATGTGCAAGAGACTGTCTGACTGACAACCATAGCATACAAGTCAATGGCACAGTTTGCCACTCTTTCCAGCACAAACTGCTCATCTGTAAAAACACAAACATCAAAGTCGTGAAAGGAAATGGGGAAAATACAGTGATCATGCTAAACATTAATCACAAGCAAAAGTGCGAGATAAGTATGTGATAAGGAAGTTGAATTTGACAAGTCAGATTAGTTAAGACACAAGAACGGAAATCAGTCTTGCACCACAAAACTGCAAGATCATCCTTTGCCCATGCATTATATGTATACTCTACATTCTGAAAGACCGGTAACATTTCCCATAAACGATGACAATTACAGTCAGGTATATGTAACGGTGATGCAGTGGGACTTTTTTCTAAACTGCACCCTCCCGTGGATGATTCTGAGACAGGAGCTGCTTTAATAACTCAAATGAATTATACCAAACTATAGTAAAACGAAGACTACTTGATTGTAAATGCTCTGCTCCACAAGCCATCTCATTTAACACAAACCATGACGACCTAGATCACCGATGGGGGCTAAACAGAAAACCTGAAACCAGAAGATCATTTTACTCACCAATGATCCTCTTGCCATGTATTAGAAGTAGTCTTTCAATGACCTAACCTAACTGTTTAATGGCTTTAACGGTCTGGTGAGACAGAAAAAAACAGCTTTAAATAACAGCTTAAAAAGCTTTTAAACAGGGTTCTTGAGAGAGATTGCATGTAAAAATTTATGACAAATGAGACCAAATGTTTGAATCACTGAAAAAGACGCATGTGGTCATGACCATAATCATGCATCTGACTAAAATCATGTGGCTAAATCAGCACTGCATTTGATGGCTCATCAAACTCGACTACTCCTTAAAAGATTCAAAAAATTGTGTAATAATTTTCAGTATCGTCTCACCAGCTCTCTGTCTGTACTTATGCCAGCCTTCTTACAGGGGGATGACGAGGGTAAGATGGTAAAAGAGAGAAAAGGAGTGAAAGTTATGAGTTTCTTTCACCTTAATTTCTCATCTTTTTAAATTTTATATATAATAAAGGCACATTTCATATAACAGTGTGAGGACAGGTATCTGACCTCTTGACCCGTTTGGTGATTTCCGCAGAAAGCAAGCCAGCATTGCCGAGTGAATTCTTCAGAGTTTTCTGTAGACTCTTCAACTGGTTATCTGCATTCTACAAACCAAGAGGATATTTATCTAACATGAAGGCAAGTCTTTATCTTATGCCCAGTACTGAACACAATGTGGGTTAATTGAGGTTTTAGCAAAAATGCTCTTTAGATTTTCAAGTGACTCAACATATTAGCTCTTAAGGTTTACAAATGACTCAGCATATCAGATCCTTTAGTTTACAAATGACTCAGCATATCATCTCTTTGGGTTTACAACAGCCGCAGCATAAAGGATCTTCCACTTTATTTGTATTCAGTCTTCTTTTAGGCCTTTTGGTGTTGCTGAGTTAAAGTGTATTTCCTTCCTGGTAAGAATGTACCAAACTGTTGTTTTGACCACTCCTAAAATTTCTGCTACTTCTCTGATAGGTTTGTTTTGTTTGTCAGCCTTATAATGGCCCCCTTCACTTGCACTGACACCTCTTTGGTATTAAGAGTTCACATGAACAGCAACCAAATGCATATTCAACACTATGACTCAACGTCTGACCTTTTGTCTCCTTAATTTGTTATGAAACAACAAGGGAACAGGCCACACCACCATAACTGCTTTTACTGTTTACAACTTCCTCAACATGACTGCTTTATTTACAACTGCCTTAGTATAACTGCTTTTACTGTTTACAACTGCCTCAGAATTATTGCTTTTACTGTTTAAAACTGCCTCAGCATAACTGCTTTTACTGTTTACAACTGCCTCAGCATAACTGCTTTGTTTACAACTGCCTTAGTATAACTGCTTTTACTGTTTACAACTGCTTCAGCATAACTGCTTTTACTGTTTACAACTGCCTCAGCATAACTGCTTTGTTTACAACTGCCTCAGCATAACTACTTTGTTTACAACTGCCTCAGTATAACTGCTTTAACTGTTTACAACTGCCTCAACATAACTGTTTTGTTTACAACTGCCTCAGCATAACTGCTTTTACTGTTTACAACTGCCTCAGCATAACTGCTTTGTTTACAACTGCCTCAGAATTACTGCTTTGTTTACAACTGCCTCAGCATAACAGCTTTTATTGTTCACAACCGCCTCAGTATAACTGCTTTACCTGTTTACAACTGCCTCAGTATAACTGCTTTAACTGTTTACAA